ATGGGAATCATTCATTTCTAAATGCAAGCAGCCATGTGCTTTGCAATAATCATGCATTTTATAATGGAATGCAATCTCTGTATTTTTGCAAATTCCATATAACAGCTGTTGATCATTTTGGTTCCAGCAAATCATGCAGCTGATATGTTTCTTATGAAAAAGATTAAAGAGTGTTTGCATGCATTTACTCTTGGTTAGATGTTGCATATTTATGAGGATGTTTCATTCAGTGTGAAACTGAAAGTCACAGTGACCATAATGTTAGACTGGATAAGGGCCCCATGTTCACCGCTGCAATTATGTTAGTACATGTGCAAGCTTCTATTATTTTAGAGGTGTAATATACTCCTAGAGCTCTACAGTGACAGGACTTGTCAGATGCAGCGAAAAGTGAATTTCATTAACATGCATTCTGTACACTAAATGCATAAACTGAAACCCTGATGAGGGAGTTACATCCTAAACAATTAAATGGACTTTGATAAAATTTGGTATTAGAAGCCTGCAGTAAAAGTTGCTCTGCAGTTTCAGGTTCATTAGTATACTACTCTCAAATTGAACTTTATCAAATGTAATGCACGCAGTAGTGTAGTTTGGTTGAGGCATTTTGCTAGAAGCCAGAAGGTCATGGGTTTGATTCCTGATGAGGTCATTGGATTTTTTCAATTGATCTAATCCTTTCATGGAGCCAGGATAGCATAGTCAGTATAGCAACTGGCTGTGGGCTGGTTGATCGAGGGGTCGGAGTTCGAGTCCTGATAGAGTCAAGAATTTTCTCTTCTCCATATCATCTAGATGGGCTATGGGGTCAACCCAACCTCCTATCCAATGGGTACCAGGGAGCTCTTTCCCTGGAGGTAAAGAGGCTAGGGCGTGAAGATGACCAATCACATCCAGCTACTGCCAAGGTCAAGAAAATGTGTCTGTACATCTACCTAATCCTTCCAGCCACACTATGGCCCTGGGGTCAACTCAGCCTCTAAAACAAATGAGTACCAGGAATCTTCCTGGGGAATAAAGGGCAGCGGGCGCGCAAGGCTGACAACCTTACCGCCATCTATGAGCTGATTGTTTAGAAAACATGGGAGCCTCAACATCTCACAACCCTATGGGTCTTCACAGCCTGTTACAGGGATAGCTTTACCTTTTTTTTTCAACTTTAATGTTTGCAAGTATTAAAATGCTTGCAAATCAGATTTGAGAATTTATCAAGAGTTCCAAAACTGACAACTTTATGGTTTTATTTTTGGAAACTGCATTGTGCATTGCAAGAAAATAAATAAGATTACCAATGCATAAGTTCTTTAGGCACATTTCTTTAACATCACCACATTAGGATTAGAGAATGAAAACACAAAGACTTCAACCCTTTTTTAAATGTCCTAATTTGACAATGAAATTACCTTTCATAAGGTTTTCAAATAAGGAGTCTTTCTTATTTTATCAGTCCTTCTGATCTAGGAGTAAGGCACTGAACATCTGTGCCAGAAATCTCCAGTTGAATCTAATGCAGAAATTTTTGCTTTCATTTCCCATCTATCATCTCTGACAAGGAACTGACTGTGAAGTAAGTAATCATTTATCTTGTTTTTCAGTAAAGGCAAATGCTTATGTTATTAGTCAATTTGGATTTGTATGAGACTCAGTCAATACTATCAAATTCATGCCCAAAAAATTTATGTAAAATACTGAAGAAAAGGAATGATTGATGTTTCACCAGTCACTATTGATTCATCTATTTAAAAAAAAATAATAAATCTTGAAATGTAGTACATGAATAGATGATAGTAATATACTCTCATTTTAAGATGTTTGGCCTTTCATTGCTATTTAAATAAAAGGTGGCTCTGTGGCACATATGTTATAGTGCCATGCATTAATTGAAATTAATGAA